GAAGAAGGTTTTTGAGGTGTTTTTTTTTTTCATTTTGGTTGTTATTTTTTATAATACAAAGTAGAGGAGAAGGGAGTTTTGTGGGGATCGCAAATATTGGGATAAGATGAAAATGTAATATGTAAAGCATGTTAGAGCAGTGACAAATTAGAAGTTATAAATTAACTATATGATCAATGTTTGATTACGAATGATGTAATGATTGGCATATAAGAAAAAGGTATAAAGTATACTTGGGAGATAGAGATTGGAGCTACAAACCTTCCTCCATGAAAAGGAACAAAGACACGAGGGGCTGTTTGGAAAGTTCATTTTGATTCTGTGATTCAAACAGACCTGTGCCCATCTTCAGAAAATAAACAAGTGCCCAGGGCAAGAAACGGCCTTCCTGCTCACTGAGCCCTTCTCAAGTGTTCCTTATATTCAAGGAGCAGTTCTGTGTAAGCCAGGAATTTCTACTCACAGACAGGCCAGGAATACAAGTTTGTTCCCTGTGCACTGGGAGTCCTGTACTCTGGGCCTGGATAGCCTGAGGCCCTGCTACCCAGCATGGTGGACAGCCAGAGGGAGTTTTCGATGCCACAGTCTGCCAGGATTTCAATCCTCCCTCAGACAACTTCATGAACGTTTCACTTTTTAAATATAAAACTGACAAGACCAACATTCCAAACAGGATGCAACATTTGTGTCTCTTTCAGCCACCATCCTGTTAGTGTGAAAATTTTAGAGATGCTCAAACTAAAACACAAAAACAAAACAAAAAAAACCAGCCTCAAATGAGTAGTCTGAGAATGTTTTCCTTGTCTCCTGAACTGGGAATTTGCTTCCCCTGGGACTCTTAAATGACAATGGCCAAGCCTGAACACGCTGATTTTAAGTCTAAATTTGCCTCTTGGTTCAGAGGCCCTAATTCAACCAAAGGATTCTTCTTTATTATGACAATTGTGACAGCAAAAGGCTAACAGTATTCATTTATAAAGGGGCTCATACAGACTCACAAAAACTAAAGTTCAAAATGATAAGAAGAAAAAAGCACAAACTAACAGGTAGTAATTCACAAGAGAAAAAAATATAGGTTAACAAACACTTGAACAATGTTAAGCTGTACTCATTAAAGAGAGATAGTAGCAATGGTATGTTATTTGTCATTATAGGAGATTAAAAGCCTTGAGAATATTTAATATTGGGGAGAATGAGATAAGCCCTCTTTTTCATTGCTGGTGGAAGATGTCAATGTAAGAAACATCCAAACCTGTAGAGAATTTTTTTGAGTTTATTTGAACCCATCTGACGACATCTGCCAAGATGTCAAATGCTCAGGAGAACAGCAGTTTTGCAGCTTAGTTTATACATGAGAATCAAAGGAGGAGAGAAAACGAGGGTTACATGAAATCCGCGGGTGGTAGATGAAGGCTGTGTGAGGAAGCAGAGCAGGGAAATCTCGAGGGTTGGATGAAAGGCCCAAAGGAGAAGCATGCTTCCTTTATATTGGTGGGCACCAGATAGCTAATAGTTACCATTTACAGCACATAGAGATGGTACGGGGACAACAAGATAACAATGAAGGGTTCTGTGGTCTCGTGCTCTGGTGCTGGAGGTTGTGCCTTTGAGGAAAAGGAAATGACTCTGACATGTCCAAGGCACGTGGTCCTGGATGCGTGAGAACAGTGGACGGGCTCACTGAGGGTAGAGACTGACCTTGGCCGAGGAAGCCGGGGGCCTGGGATGGGACCGCCCGCTCCGACCTGCCCGGTTAGGGATTCGTGGTCAGACCACCCTGTGAGGTTCCTTTCGGTCACGGGGCTTGTCCAGCCTGCCGTGTGGCCCCCTGAGCTGATCAGGTGTATTGCATAGCCCCTTTTTTGTTCACAAAGGATAAATTGATTCACAAACATATTCACCAAAGCATTATTTATAATATTACAAAGTAATGTCATAAAACATAGAAACTATAAATGGTGAGACTGCTCTATGCAGTCATTAAAAGTATGCAGTCATTAAAAGTCATAACTCAAAAGTAGTTTGGGAGACATTTCCAGCGACCTAGAGTAATAATCACATTGTAACGATGTTTACAAAGTGGGATAGAAACATATATATTTACATGATCCCTCCCCGGCTATGTAAAACATTATAGAAGGAAATGTGTTGTTAAGAGTGGCCATGTCTACGACCTGAAGTCCTAGACGGTTTTTAGTGTTTTCTCCACCACCTCACGTGTTTCTAGTTTTCTACAACCAGCATGTATGTCTTTCTTATAAACAGGAAAAGTTCACCAGAAAGGGCAACAATGACTCAGCAGTCTCCACTTCTGCCTTGTGAAGGGGGCCACCTGCTTATCATTAAAGAGAATTAAAAGGCCCATTGTGATGAGAACGTGATTACTAGGAGGGTTAGAAGCCAAAAAAAAAAAAAAAACCAGCAACCCAGGCTAAGTAAGCCCTTAGGACAGCAAAGTGTCAGGGGATTTTTCAACCAACTATCCATATACTGTCACTGTGACACATTCAGGAGAAGCAGCTAGGACTAGCCTCCGGGCTCACTGTCCATGAGTTGCTGAAGCCTGTCCATGATTCCAGTAGGAAGCGAGGAGCAGGCATCCCAGCACTTGTGCTGCGTGTGTGAGACCCAAAACATGGCCTCTCAATTCAAGGCGGTGTCTTAAGACACTATTAAAATATGCACGTGAAATGTCTAAAGGATACTACATGGCATTTGCGTATTTTTTTTTTTTAAATGAGCTCCTCCTGTCTACCGCGCACCAATTTGGTGATAGATGCACACTGTTCTGGGAGAGAGATCACAGCTTCGTGGGAGCACGTCCTGTAGCTTCCAGTGACATCAGAGCCACCCGTGTGCGGCATTGTGTGATGACAGCCGGATGAACTAAGATGCCACCCTCTCCCTGGGCTTGTCCCACATCCTGTTTCCCTCATACGAGGTTTTCTTTTTCCATGTGGTCCCTTTTTGTTCTTGCAGATGTGGGGTGTGGTCAGAAACCCCCACCCCCACCCCGCTTCGCCCCGCGCCCCTCCCCCCATCAGCTTTAGGAAGGAGGAGGGGACTGTCCTTCCTAGGGGTCCCTTCAGACGTTGATCTCCAGGGCTGTGTGCATCTTGGTGCCTCTCCGCGGGCCACCAATGGCCACCGCTCACAGTGCGGATGGACACTCCCTAGCATTCCTGGCTGCCGCGCGACATTTTGGCCCCAGCTCCCTGCATCTCATGAGGCTCCTAGTTCGGGTTCCTCCGCCCTTCAGGATGTAAATGGCTGGTCTGTTCCATATTAGAAATTTTCTAAATATAAAGGTATACTGTGCAGACTATTGTTTTGTTTTGTTTTTAAAGATTTTTATTGGGGAATTGGGGGAAGGCGAACAGACAAGTTGCTGTCGTTTTTGTTCTTCAGTCTAGTTGTGGAGGACGCTGCTTCACTGGCCCAAGTTGGCACCATCATTGTGCTCTTCCCGGGGAGGCACATCAGTCACTGGCTTCTGGACGGCCGCTCACGGCGGCTGCTGGCCGCTCACGCTGGATGCTGGCCACTCACGCTGGATGCTGGCCACACACGGCAGCCCATGGCAACCCACTGCAGCAGGGGCTGCAGCCCACGCCATCGCCAGCGACTCACAGCAGCCCAGCTCCAGGTTGAGCTGTTGTTCAGCATCTTAGCTGT